TTTTTCTAGTTAGGTCTCCCGAGGCAGGGAAAATAAAAGCAAAAATAATTTATTAGGACTACACCAAAATAAAAAGCTTCTGCACAGCAAAGGAAACAATCATCAAAACTGAAAGGCAACCTACAGAATGGAACGAGACATGTGCAAATGACAGACCCAATAAAGGGTTAGTATTCAAAATATATAAAGACCTGAAACAACTCAACACCCAAAAAACAATCCAATTAAAAACTGGGCAGAAGACATGAACAGACATTTGTCCAAAGACGAGAGAAAGATGGTCAACAGATACGTGAAAAGATACTCAAAATCACTTAACATCAGGGAAATGCAAATCACAACTACAATGAGATCGCACCTCACACCTCCGAGACTGGCTAGAATCAAAAACACAATAAACAACCAGGGTTGGCAAGGACGTGGAGGAAAAGGAATGCTCTTGCACTGCTGGTAGGAATGCAAACTGGTGCAGCGACTGTGGAGAACCGCATGGAGAGGTTCCTCAAGAAATTAAAAACAGACCTACAGGACGCCTGGGTGCCTCAGTGGGTTAAGCCTCTGCCTTCAGCTCAGGTCATGATCTCAGGGTCCTGGGATCGAGCCCCGCGTCAGGCTCTCTGCTTGGCAGGGAGCCTGCTTCCTCCTCTCTCTCTGCCTGCCTCTCTGCCTACTTGTGATCTCTCTCTGTCAAATAAATAAATAAAATCTTTAAAATAAAATAAAAAATTAAAAATAGAACTACTCTATGATCCAGTAATCACACTACTGGTTGGTTACCCAAAAAATATGAAAACACTAACTCAAAGGGACACATGCACCCCTATGTTAACAGCAGCATTATCTACAACAGCCAAACTATGGAAGCAGCCCAAGTGTCCATCAATTGATAAATGGATAAAGAAGAGGTGGTGTGTGTGTGTATTTACATACGAAATTTATATATGAAATTTATATATGAAAAAGAATGAAATCTTGCCATTTGCAACACAGAGCTACAGAATATTATGCTAAGTGAAATACATCAGTCAGAGAAAGACAAATACCACATGATCTCACTCGTATGTGGAATTTAAGAAACAAAAGAACGGAGGAAAAAAGAGACAAACCAAGAAACAGACTCTTAACTATAGAGAACTAACTGATGGCTACCAGAGCGGAGATGGGTAGGGGGTTGGTTAAATAGGTGATGGGCATTAAAGACTACACTTACCATGATTAAAAAAGTAAATGTTATTTCTGACTTGACATTACCACAAAGCATTTCTAAAACAGAAACAGTAAAAACTCTTCAAACAAAGCAGGTCCTACTTCACTGTATCATAAAAAGATACATTAAGAGCGTGACCATTTACTAAAATAACTTCTAACAAGTAACACACAATACGAAGGCTTTTCATCTGCCAAAAAAACAAACTTTTCATCTGCTGGAATCCACATCTAGTTCGTTTTCACGTCCTTACACCTCCTAACACTATACCCTGTAACACACACCATGATCAGGCCACACTTATAGAATGAATAAATGATCTACAAATATATGAAGGAACTATCAAGAACCACAAAAGCCCAGCAATTTAGAAATGATTTCTCTGAAACTGGGGGCAACCAAACAAAATGGCTTATTCCAACCTATGTAAGCTTATCACAACACTCCACGTTTGTAACTCACATGCTTCTCTTATGCCTATGAACTAGAACCTCAGTCAAGGGCTGCATAATGGACTTTTTTCCACTAACCAAAAAGCACATGCTATGTTTATTCACAGCTGGCTCAGGCGCTAAGCATCTGCCTTCAGCTCAGGTTATGATCCCGAAGTCCTGGGATAGAACCCCATGGCAGACTCCCAGCTCAGCGGGGAGTCTGCTTCTCCCTCTGCCTCTACCGCTCCCCCTGCTGGGGCTCTCTCTCTCTCTTTCAAATGGATAAATAAAATCTTTAGGGAAAAAAAAAAAAAAAAAAAGAGGCATTGGACAAGAGCTAATTGCTCAGAGCCTCTGTCAGATTTCCCTATGGAATAATTACATTCCTGGGTTCACATAGTAAAAAGCAATTTTAAGTATATACCCACATAATCTCTCTTCTCCCCAAATAGTAAAAGCATCTATTATTGGTAACTGAAAGCTAATTCCGAACTTCTTATATACTGTTTCCAGAGATCTGTGTATATTTCACATAACCTGTATCTTATACCTATTCACATCAATTATAAAGTTAAAAGAAAATATTTTCGGTCTACATTCCATCAATAAAACATGTCAAATTATTTAGCAATAATAGTTTTTATAAACTCCCACCATTCCACAGTAATGGAAGAGACTACTGGCACAGATAACCCAGAAATCATTCATCTCATATATTCAGCCTAAGTATAGACTCTGTAGAGATTTCCTTGAAAGGTCTTACAGAAGCTCCTATTGTTCATTCTTCCTGGGCTACCGCATCTGACCAGGGAGAAAAGAGATTCCACAGTCTGGGGCACGCAAGCCAGATTAGAATTAAACACACACTACAACTTTCTAAAGTGGGGACAATCAACAGTACATAATGTCAATACAAATACATACAGACAATACAACTATATAAAAGTAATATACCACATTAAGAAAAATGAATTTCATATTCAAGTGATTGCTCCCTTAATCCTCCCTTTTCACTATTCCCAACTAAGCAGCTAAAATGTAACAAAACCTAGCATTCTTGTATAAATACACCAGGACAATTGTTTTACCTTTATTATTTAGAAAAGTACTGTAATAAGACCAAATACAATCTGCTAATAGACTAAAATTTAAATTAAAATGCATTAGATATTTAATGCCACCAAGGAAAAGTCAAGCTAATTTTTTTAAATGTTTCAGGAGATAATCTCACAGGCTACTGTCCGAATACCCAAACTGCACCATCAGGAATTACTAAGGCAAACCCACAAACTTACACTAAAAATTACTAATGAATACAGAAAAATAATTCCCTTTTTTTAGAGAAATAATTCTAAAAGCACATTTTGATACTTTTATCTAAAGAACAAAATTTAATATTAAGGATGATTTCACTGTCTAAAGATTAAATGACCAAAAACGCAGAGTAAGACATTCGGATTATTTACTTGCTGAAGGATAGACTGCTAGGAAAGGAGTTTCCAATCCTCCCAAAATCTCACAGGCCCTCTTGAGGCTCGTACTTTGCCAATCACACAGACAGTAGGAGCTAGAGAACAGTGGTCTCAGTGTTTCGGAGCGACAGAGACCTCACTGGGTGATTTAAGGTAGGACACAACCCCTCCATTCTCGTTTGTAAAGTACAGATATCAACACTTCCTCATCGCCCAAAAACTAACTAAGGTAACATACAGAAAGCGCTGGGCCAGTCCCTGTAACAAAGCATTCGATTATGACCCCATATAATGTACATGCTGCCAGCGACAGTAACATGGATGTGTGTATGCGCCGGTTACTACATACACGTATTTCCCAGCTCAGTCCCCAGAGAGCACCTAGGAGCACAGACACTTCACAGCGGTGATGAGCACACCTAGTGTCCACAGCCCTGGTGTGGCTCTCAACGCCATTCTTCTTGTGAAAGCAATCAGAACTACCTGGAGAAGTGGCTGCTTCCAAGGCTAGGGAAGGGGAAATATGAGACTAAAACATCTTGTGGTGTCAGAAAATAAGGAAGTGCTCAAAAAAATGGGCACACGTTGAGAAGACACGGGAACCAGCCTGAATGAGGCCCTATGGCCAAAGCCGGAACAATACGAGCAGCAGAATTAATAATGACCGTATTGGACCATAACCCACAGAAGAGAATGTTCAGTATGTAAATTCATACTGATACACATAAATACAACAGGGGAGAAAGGGTAGTCTTTCCTTCCAGAAGAATCCCGGTGAGTAAGTGTAGAAGAAAAGAAAACAGATAATCACCACTCAACAAACAGTACCGTAATGACTGCTGCAAACAAGTTCCATGGACAGATACTAAAATTATCAAGATATTAAAATTAGTAGAGAAAAGGCTGAGGAGAAATAGGATATTTACCGATTACAATGAGAAAAAGTAGTAACTTTACTATGGAGAAATCTGGCAGACATAGTCCACTGGTAATAAGACATACTGATTCATGAGAAACTATGATCCATCAGGAACCCAATGGGCCCTTCTCGCCAAGACTGCATACATAACCTTACGCTAATCATGAAGGAACATCCGACAACGCAAGGTGAGGGGCATTCTAACAAAATAACCAGTAACTCACTGGTTTTCCTCAGCAGTCCACAGACATAAAGAACAAGAAAAAACTGAAGAACTCTCACAGACTGAAGGAGACTAAGGAGACATTACCAATAAATATAAAGTGAGATCCTAGATTGGACCCTGGAACAGAAGAAGAGTGTAAATGGGAAAACTCGTATAATTCAAATAAGATAAGCAGTTTAGGTAAGCGTATTGCTCTAATGTTAACTGCCCAGTTTATTAAACACAGTATAATTATGTAAGATGTTAATATTAGGGAAGCTGGATAATGGACATATGCAAACTATAATTTTACTACTTTTCTGTAAGTCTAAATTCATTTCAAAATAGTTTTTGGGGGACGCCTGGGTGGCTCAGTTGGTTAAGCAGCTGCCTTCGGCTCAGGTCATGATCCCAGCGTCCTGGGATCGAGTCCCACATCGGGCTCCTTGCTCGTCAGGGAGCCTGCTTCTCCCTCTGCCTCTGCCTGCCATTCTGTCTGCCTGTGCTCGCTCTCTCTCCCTCTCTCTCTCTGACAAATAAATAAATAAAATCTTTAAAAAAAAAAAAAATAGTTTTTGGAAGTACTTTTAAAATAGGATATCTGTAATTATCCAGACAATGTGTAATAGCTATCATTTTGTTTTGCCTTAAAATCATTAAATTACGTTAAAATATGCTTTAACTGTTGAAACTAAAATACGTATCTCTGAAAAAATTAGCTCTGAAACATTCATTCAATAAAATGCATTACAGATTTCATTACCTGTAATTTCATATCCATAAGCAGCTAGTTGTCCAGCCATATATTCTCCATCTGAATTATTATGAGAACAACCCCATGTTCGCAACCAAATTTTCTGTATGCCTGGAATGGTGCTGCAAAATAATCAATCAAAAAAAAAAAAGTAAGTCTCATCAAGGGATTTTTGGAACAAAAAAAACACAAGATGATTTCTGAGCATATCATTCAAAAACACACAGCAATCTATTCACAATCTGTTCATGAAATACACCAACTTAATCCACAATCAATTGCTACACCAAGTCTATAATCAAAATAAAATAACCACAGGATTCTAAGTTAAGACTCTCTACATAAAATTAGATCTCCTTTTTCTCTGAATTATATTTTAAATTAAGTCTCTCGGGGCGCCTGGGTGGCTCAGTGGGTTAAAGCCTCTGCCTTCGGCTCAGGTCATGATCCCAGCGTGCTGGGGATCGAGCCCCACATCGGGCTCTCTGCTCCGCAGGGAGCCTGCTTCCTCCTCTCTCTCTCTGCCTGCCTCTTTGCCTACTTGTGATCTCTGTCTGTCAAATAAATAAATAAAATCTTAAATTAATTAATTAATTAATTAAGTCTCTCTACATAACAAGATCTCCTTTTGCTCAGAACTGTATTTTAAATTCAGTACTACTAATGTACTATCGCAAAGTTAAACTCATAGAAAGGTAATACAAATAACAGCAAAGAAAATGGTTCTAGCAACAGAAGCAAAGAAAGAAAAAGTAAGTATATCCACCTGCTCACTGACTCCTATATAATAGTTACAATCTTTATTTTATAACTAAGATATAAGCAGCTGACTCAAAACAGAAAAACTATCATCCTCTAGCAGAATTAAAAATATCCCATATATAGAGTTATAAAAATGTAATATTTTTAGGAAGGGAAAAAAAGGACTTTCAACTTGGACTGCCCTAATAATTTGAAATTAAACAGAAATTACCTTAAAGACATTCAAAGCAAATTTGATAAACTTCAGTCATTAAAATATAAGGACAATTTAAATTCACAGATTTTAAAAGCTTACTGTTCCAAACAAAATAACCAAGTGTATTAAAACTTTCAACAATTTACTAGCTAAACAAATGTAAGCATATTAAAGCCATAACAACTGCATAACCCTTTCTGGCTAGGTTGTCTTAGAATTTCACTCTACAGACCTAACATAATAAAACAGCATGAATTTATTTGTGCCCAACGCCTTTAGCTGATCCATAAGTATTTGTAAATTTCTTAAGAAAAATGAAGTACCCAAGCCAACAAACCACCATCTCAAGAATTCAAAATTCCAGGAAAAGTTTGAATTTGGAAGTAATACAAGATTCTATACCAACTACAGTAGCGGAATCAAAGATCCTGGGGCAGTGGAGCGGGGGCTGGGGGGAGATCCTGTTTGTGCCAAATAGTGCCCTTGGCCCTGTCTTCAAGAAATACGCCATCTCACATCCTTTTCTTTTTTAAGAAATTATTTTGCTAAATTTAAAACCATTCAAATAAAAATAAAAATCTACATATCTGATCTCAAGAGTTCAAAGACTTTCAGAAGGAGACATTATGTATATCACATCTGGTAGTACCAATTTCTTCCCTGAGCATACTGAATATAATTTCAAAACAAGAGCTTACCTATCACTTGGTGGACTGTTTTCCTCTTGCAAATATTTTTGGGTGTTTCGCTTTCGTGCCTTTGGAACAACGTGCTTTCGTGCAGAATGCCTATCTTGTGGCTTTAAATCTCCCTGTGACACGATATCTTCTATGTCATCCAGTAGTATGTCGCAGGACGCAGAAGGCATCTTCTCTATTATCTAAGAAAGTTATAAACGACAGCAGCACATGAGTCCCTCAGAAATCTGTTTAACAGAGTATCACCTATAAAATATTCCCGCTGATCTCGAGTCTAATAAAGCCTTTACATTTAACCTTAGGTTTACAAAAAACAAAAAAGATAAAGAAACACAAGGAAACAATCAGACAAATCCTACTGATAATGGGACATCCCAAGGTTCAAGTGATCTATCCCCTCAACAGATCAGTATCTCAGAGAAAAAAATAAGAAAGGGACTATTCGTGGTTAAAGAAGACTCAAAAGCCTAACAACTAAAGGTAATTCACGTTCTTGATAATATCATACTTTGTCCAACCAGCTGTAAGACATTTTGGGGACAACTAGGAACATCAGAATATGAAGTGGGTGTTAGGTAGTATTACAATATGGCTGTAAATCATTAGACGTAAAGTACCGTCCTTACGTTTAAAAATCTTATTTCTGACACTGTATACATGACTTTACTTTTTATTTATTATTTTTAGAAAATCTTCTTAGAGATGCTTATTAAGTATTTGGAGGTTCTATATCATTACGCCTATAATTTACTTTAAAACAATAAAAATACATAAGATATATGGAAAACATTTACAAGTCCTAAATCTAAGACATAGGTGTGTTGGTGTTCCTTATCCAATTCTACTTTACTGAAAGTTCAAAATGTTTGAAATTAAGAAAAATGTGGATACAGCTTCCAGGAAGACAGCACAGACATACGTTTCCCTCCCTCCTCCCACTAAATACAACTAAAACTAGGGAGATTATATATAAAATAAACATTAGAAGACTTTGAAAGGCAGAGAGAAGGAGGTAAACTGGCTAGGGACCTGGGAACCCAAGGAACAACACAATGGTGAGTCGCCTGGGGTTTCTTTTGCCTTCTATATCCCAGACTTGAAGCCGAAGAAGCCAGCAACCCAACAGATGCAGATAATAAAAGCCCCCCCCCCCCAAAAGACTGTTCTCTTTGCAAAGAACCAGAAAAGGTGTGGCCTAGCGAGACGAAAATTTTCAGACAATAACCATTCTACTCCATAAAACAAAACATAGAAAGTCCCACAAAACACAAAACTGGAGTCCCACCTCCTGACTTCTACTGCTGTAATGAGGCACCCCAAAACACTCCACCAGGACAGAACCAGAGTAGGGACCCTGGACTTTCAAACCAGCCAACCCACCAGTAAAGAACCTCCAGGCCCTCCCTGCCCACTCAGTGAAAACCAAACTAGTAAACAAGTTTAAAATCAAATTCCTATCAAAATCCCAGCAAGATGTCTCATGGACATAGATAAGACTGTTCCAAAATTCATACGGGAAGATTAAAAAAAATTAAAATATCTGAAATAATTGTGAAAAAGAAATAGTGGGAGGAACTGGGCTGCCCAATTTTCAGACTCATTATACAGAGACAGTAATCGAGACTATGTGGCATTGGAGGAAGAACAGAAATACGAATCAAGAGAACAGAACAGAGACCTGCAAACAGACCCACACAAATATGCCCAAGGGATTTTTCATGAAAGTACGAAAGCAATTCAATGAAAGAAAGATAAATTTTTCTATTAGTGCTGGAGCAACGGGACGTTTATAGACCAAAAAAATGAACCTCAATCTATTTCATAGTTTACACAAAAATTAACTTAAAATGTATCACGAACTTAAATGTAAACACTGTAAGCTTTTGGGAAAAATCGTAAGAGAAAATCTTCTAGACTTAGAGCTAGGTGAAGAGTTCTTAGACCTGACACCAAAGTGCAACCATAAAAAGAAAAATTAATAAATCCAGACATCACCAAAATTTTAAACCTTTGCTCTGCAAAAGACCCTTTTGAGAAGGTAAGAAGTCAAGCTACTGAGTGGGAGAGAATGTTTGCAAACCACCTATCTGACAAAGGATGGTATCTAGAATTCAAAACACAATAGTAAAGAGGTCCCTGGCTGATTCAGCCGGTGGAGCATGCAATTCTTGATGTCAAGGTTGTGAGTTCGAGCCCCATGTTGAGGGCAGAGACCACTTAAAATCTTTAAAGAAAAAAAATTGTTAAAAAAAAAAATACAATTAGTAAATGGACAAAGAACATAAAGTCATTTCACCTAAGAGGATACAGAGAGGACAAATAAGCACATTTAAAGATGGCCCCCATTACTCATCACCAGAGAAACACAAACCCAAACCACAGTAAGGTATCACTACACGTACCTATCGGAATGACTACAGGACAAACCAGCGAGAACATTAAAGCCAACAAGGATGGAGAGAAACTGGATCACTCACACACTCCTAGTGGGAACATAAAATGGCACAGCCACTCTGGAAAACAGTTTGGCATTTTCTTAAAAAACTAATCATGTGACGACCACATAACCCTGCAATTACATTTGAGGGTTTATCCAAGAGAAATAAAGACATGTAAAGCCTCAACACAAATGGTGACAGCACAAATGTTTCTTTGTAGTAGGCGAAACCTGCAAACACCTAGATGCCCCTCAGTGGGTGGTACGGGCAAACAGGCTCTAGCACCCGCATACCACAGACCACCACCCAGCAACAAAACACCTACGACCGGTACCCACAGCACCTGATTCAGTCTCCAGGGAATGATAATGAGTGGAAAGAGCCATGCCCGAAAGGTTACATACTCATGGTTGTATTTATAGAACATATTTGAGACTGAAATAACAAAATTACAGAAATAGGGAACACAACAGAGGTTAGCAGGGGTTAAGCAGAGGAGGACAGGGGAGAAATGAATGTGACTATCGAAAGGCAACAGGAGCGATCCTTGGGAGTGATGGAAATGTTCTCCACCCTGACTCTGTCAATGTCAGTCCCCCTGCGGTGATACTATATTACAGTTTCACAAGATGTTACCACTGGGGAAAACTGGATAAACCTTATAGCATCTCCACATAATTTTTATTACTGAAAGTGAATCTATAATTATGTGAAAATAAAATAATTAAGAAAAAAAGTTATCTGGAAAGAAAAAGGAATATACGCTGAGTGCACTGACTGAATACTACTACTACACTTATGAAGAAGTGCTTCACGGGGTCATTCATTAAGCATCTGCACCTCCATGAGTTTGGTGGTGTTACTGTCCTCACTTTAAAGAGCCACCTGAAACACAAAGAGCTAACTTACCCAATGAGCCCAAGCCCATTTGCTACTTCATGTAGCCTCGAATGCCTACGTGATGTAGGTATACTTAATGACCACTAGTCCTCATCTGGGTTGCCCAAACCAGTGTTAAGGATCCCTAATACTCCCTGTCGGTCTCAAGCCTCTCAGACAAATCTTCCCTCTCTTCTCTTGCCTCATCCTCCCATGAACAACTTTCAATTAAATGAGCAGTTTCCCGCCAGGATCATTTTGTGCCCTTTACTGTAACAGACTCTGTACAACTGTAACAAATTATGCCCAGTAAATCAGACAAACCTGTGTTCAAAGATAGTTCTACACTGGTAGTAACAGCAAAAGATTAAAAATAATCTACTAAAGATTGGTTAAAATGTGGTTAACATGTATACCGCATTGTCCTGGTGGGGCTGCCTATCACTCCTCTTCCCTAGACACAGGAATGCGGCCCAGGACCCAAGCCTTTAAAGTGACCCATCTCCAGGCCACAATAAGTGGTTCAGGGATGGACGTGACAAGCCCGATCACTGGAAACCATCAAGAGTACTTCTATGCCAGAGCTAACAGGAGAGACGGCTTCCCTTTCACTGTAGTGGCTAAGTAGGGAAGATGTCAGACTGAGGATGCTGGGGGCCATGTTGCCCGCCATAGGGCAGAAACTGCCTAGGGAACGAAGTGTAATGGGGGCTGGAGAGAGAACACTGACAGTATTTAAACACCTGGATCAAAAGCCTGTTCTGCCCAGTTATGTGAGCCAGTAAATTCCCTCTGTGGCTTAAATTAGTTTAAATTGGGTTTTCTGCTCTTGCAAAGAAGAACCCTGGCCAACTCAGCAAATTAGGGAAGGAGAAATAAACTAGGTTAGTCTTTCTGAAATCGGTTCTATTTATTTCAAATATGAACGATCAGTGGGAAAAAATGGTTCTGTGGTCAAATAAATTTGGGAAACTCTGCCTCCTTACAGACCCCCAGTATTCATTAGTAGATCAAAGACTGTGAAAAGCTGCAGTAAAGAGCCTAAAACTCATTTATCTTAGGAGTTTTCCGAAAATTAATTTCTCACAGATCTCCTCTTAATGAGGCTAAAGATGGTACCAAAAACAGAAGGCCTGAATGAAGCAGACCCTCAGATCCCTTCCCACATTCTGCACAGATGGAGGACTTCCTTCTTTTACAGGGAAATGCTTCTCTGCCCATGTACTCTGCCTACCAATCTGTTCCTGTAAGTGAACGGTCCACCACCCCCCAACCAAGAACAATCCTTCTACTCTGACTTACTCAAGCACGGCCTCCCAGCAATCACTCCTCTTCCTGCAACATCACTGCCTCCGTACCAAATCATTACTATCTACATATAAACATGATGTTATTCCGCCCGCTGAACAAACACGATGTTATTTCTCCTACTGTATCTGGACTCTGCTTGCTCCCCGTACTACCTCAATCATATCCCTCTCCCTCAAAGAAAAACTCCTTATCCATTTGCAACAATGTGGATGGAGCTAGAGCCTATTATACTGAGGGAAATAAGTCAATCTGAGAAAGATGAATACCATATGATTTCACTCATATGTGGGATTTAAGAAAAAACAAACAAACAAACAAACAAGCAAAGGATTTAAAAAAGAGATAAGAAGACAAACCAAGAAACAGATTCTTAACTCTAGAGAACACACTGATGGTTTCCAGAGGGGAGGGGGGAATAGGTGATGGGGATTAGGGAGGGCACTTGTGATGAGCGCCAGTGATGTGCAAAAGTGTTGAATCACTCTATGGTACCCCTGCAATTAGTATTACACTGTATGTTAACTCAACGGAATTTAAAGATTTACTT